AGTGGTTGCAGGGAGAGAATATGGAGAAGGTGGGGCGAGAGTGCAGGAGGGTGGGGCCTGGGGTGCTAGGAAGGGCTGCTGACGAGTTGTGCCCTTGCTGTGTGTTGGGCTGGGTAGGTGTCACCTTAAAACATGTCCACTTATTCATTCCCATGTGATCTGATTAAGGAGGTACAGTTTATAGTTGGAAAAACTAAGAATCAGAGAAGTGAAGCCACGTGCCGCACAACTAACACATGGTAGCTATGGGAATCAGCCCTATTTCAGCCCCAGAGTCTATGCTTTCTGTAGAGAGAGTCAAAACCACTGTTTCTGCCAACTAGGTGGGAGGATGTTAGGGAGTCCTCACTTTTCTATCTGTTAAGTAGGAATGCTAGCACTGCCTTCCTGGGGTTTCCTCATGCCTCAGACAGAGGCTTATTCAGTTCTTACCTGCAGCAGGCGTTGGGCTCAACTCTCAGGACCCTTAGCTGACCGAAGGGGGCCTCAGGGACCATGGAGAACTTGAGACTCAGCAGCACTGTCCAACAGAAATACAGGTTTCCCCAGTATCCAAAAGTGAGCGTCCCTGTGAAAGCTTTCGTGAGCTGAAAAGGTGTAAAGTGGAGAAGCAACTACCTTAGGACGTGTCTTGTGCTAACAGTGCACAAAATAAGTCAGATCAAGCAGGGATGCTCACAAACACATTTCAGAGCTGTGGGGCCTGAAGCTGAGAAGCTGAGTGTGGTTCCCAGGGCAGGAGCTTGGCGGTGCCACCCTCGCCACTCGGGGCATGCTGCCTCTGTAATGGCGCCTGCAAAACAAACGCTCAACGCTGTTTTTTGTTTCTCAATTTTTTTTCATAAAAGCAAAATCCTCTTGGGATTTCTTTAGGTTAGCGAAAACCAGTACTAATGCAGGTCTTTCGTAAAAGCAGCATGGTGTTTAAGTGAACTTTTGAAAAATGGGGGATACTTGTATATAGTGAGCTGTGTGTGTCATTTTAAATAGCAACATAAAAAAGTAAAAAGAAGTAGATGAACTTAGTTTTAGTAACATATATTATTGAACTCAATGTATCATTTTGACAGTATAATCAATTTCAATTGTTAAAGCGATATTTCACGTTTTTTTTTTGCCCAAAGTCTTTGAAATCCGGTGTGTAGTTTACACTTGTACCACATCCCTGTGTGGACCAGCCACATTCCCAGGACTCAGTAACACAGCCCAGCTCCAAAGTCTGAGGGATCAGTGCTCCCTGCAGTGCGGGACGTGGGAACAGCTGATTTTCACAGAGCACTTGCTGACCAGGCCCTATTCTGAGGACTTTACATACCTTATGTAGTGGACCCTTGAACAACACAGGTTTGAACCATGCAATCCGCTTAACATGTGAAAATTTTTTAATACACACCTACTGGAGTACTGTACGGTCTGCGCTTGGTTGAATCCATGCATGTGGAACTGCAGGTGCAGACATTAGGCTGCTCAGGGGATCAATGTCCCTAAGCCTAGTGTTGTTCAAGGGTCAGCTGTAGTCTTTAGCCTTCACAGCAACCCCACAGGGGAGGTACTGCTGTTGTCCTCATTTCATAGTCGTGGCAACTGAGGTCTGAGAGAGAGGCTGGCTGAGGCTGCATGGCAGGTGAGCTGTGGAGCTAAGGAGGAAGGTGTGACTAGAGGGACGAACTCCTCTTGGTTTTAACAGATTTATTTAGGCAAATTTCTTATGAAAAAATTCACCCTTTTTGAGCATAGTTTAGCACTGGCAAAGGTACACAGTTGTGTAACCTCTGTGTTCACTGTGTGGAGCCATCCCTTCCCCTAAAAGGTGCCCTCAAGCCCCTGTGCAGTCAACTCCCTTGCCTCTGACAACCATCCATTTGCTTTCTGCCCCTGTAGTTCTGCCTCTTCCACGATGTCATATAAATGAGGCTATATGGTTTGAAGTCTTTGAGGCCTGATTCGTTTCTTGTGTGATGTTTTTGAGGTACAGCCATGTCGTGTGTATATCAGTAATGGCTTCCTTTTTTTTTGCTGAGTAGTATTTCATTATATGAATATGAATTCAGACATTTCATTTTTCCATCTGTTTACTGGTCGATGGACATATGAGCTGATTTCAGTTTGGGGCTATAATGAACGAATAATACTGCTGTGCACAGGCCCTCTTTTGGAACATGGTTTCACTTCTCTTGGGTAGTTAGTTACCTGAGAATAGAATTGCTGGGCCTTATGGTGAGTGTATGTGTAAATTTGTAAGAAGCTACAAAGCTGTCTTCCAAAGTAGCTGTGTGATATTAACACTTCAGCACTGTGTCTCCAGTTCCTCCACAACCTGATGAACACTTTAGATTGTCAGTCTTCTAAAATTGGTTTTTCTGGTGCATTTTGCTGATGACAGAAGAACGTGCTGTAAAAGATGCTGAGCATCTTTTACATGCTTATTTGACATCCATTTGAACCTTCAAATCTTTTGCCATTTTTAATTGGATTTTTTGTTAACTTAATATTGAGTTGACAGAGTTGGTACCTCTTTTCTTGGGATTAAATAAAATAGTATATGTCAAATGCTTTGCAATCAGAGATCCACTCATTAGCCCTTCTGGCGTCCCCCTGTCAACACTTAGGGTCACTGTCTATCTCAAGCACCTGTTGAGACCCTCCCCTTACTGCTCACCCTGGCAGGTACAGGAATCACACTCTCGACCAGCACCCTCTAGCGGTACAACGTCTACTCAGTACCATCTCCCTGTGCTCACAAGAGCATCTTCGCCTGTGCCTCAGACCAGTGTCAGCATGGCCAGGGGGCTTAGGGTCAAGAGGCAGGAGCCCTGGGTCCTAATTCTGTCTTTGTGACCATTTCCCATATGACTTGGAGCTCATCACTTTCCCTCTCTGGGTCTCTTTCCTCATCTATAGAAAGAGAAGGTTGAACTAGCTGACCTCCGGGGGTATAGCCAGCTCTGAATCTCTGCTTTTAGCACCCTTGGTAACAGCCGTTTGCGGAGGCTCCTGTGGTCAGAGCTTTCCCTAAGGCAGGACTTGGGATTTTGTGAGAGGGTCGGGGGCAGGAAAGGCAGGACAAAGGAGCAGGGAGGGGTGGTGGCTGGGTCAGGAGCAGATGGCCAGCTTTCTGCTTCAGTTCCAAGAGCCAGAATCTGCTTTGGAAAAGCCACTATTCATCTTTTCCAAGCCCACAGGATTTGACAAGCTGGAGTTCATGGCTGCTGTTCTGTGACCAGGACAAAGAATGGGGGTGGCAATTGTGAGCTTTGGACTAGAGATGAGAAAACAGACCTGAATGGTGACAATTCGCTTCTACCAAGAACCACATGAAAAGAAATGGACTTGGGTTGCTGAGATGTTTAGAGCTGGGGCCTTACGAATCAGCCATTGAACCTCTTGTCTGTCATCCCCTATTCTAGGGCCCAAAATGGGCGTCTGCAGCATCCTCTTGGCTTGAATACTGCTCTTGATGAGAGGCTCACTGTGCCAGCAGGCTGGGTGTTTATACTGTAGCATCAGTCAGCTAGTTGATGAGTTGGAGCTAGTATTCCAGCTCCTGAAATTTGATTCTTCTTGGAGAATCAAGGTCACCTCTCTGCCAAGGATTCCATTGTGTGATTTCTTTTCTCTCAGGTCTGACTGCCATGTGATTGCTCAGAGGCAGAAGGATGTCATGTCCACGTGTGGAACTTTCTCAGATGCTCTTCGAGCTGCAGCCCAGATGATTCTGTGGCTTTGTAACTGGTCACTGAGGGCTTCTGTGAGTGAGATGGGGCCTGGAGTCCTCCTTCCCTACGTGGGACACCCCGTATCTCTCTGCCTCTCTGGGAGGCCGTATCTGGGTGCCCTGGCAGAGAGTGGAGAGGATGGGGGTCCCTAAGGTCCCTGAATGGGGGTTGAACAGATCCAAGAGGGAGGTGAGAGCTTGTGGGCTGCTTTTGCTGTCAGGGTCAGCTGTGATGAGGAGGGAGGCAGGGAGCTGTGATGAGGAGCCATTACTAACTGCTGCCACTGCTGCCACTAACCAAAGGTCATCTGTCCTCACCTGAAATGGACACAGTAAGGCCTGGACATTGCAGAGTTGTTGGGGGCGGGGACCATAATGTTAAGCATTTAGCATGGTGCCTGGCACTTAGTAGGTGCTTTGAAATGTGAACAAACAGAAGCTAAGGAGAAAGGGGAATGGAACCTGTATTTGATAGGGAATGTTCTTCCCTCAAAGCACGGGGTTCCTTTTTTATTTGCCAAGAACCCCTCAAGCAATCTGGCAGAAAACTCTCGGACCCCTTCTCAGAGTAATGTTTTTAAATGCACAAAATTAAATATATGGGATTACAGAGGGGTGAATTTTATTGAGAACTATCAAAATACTAAAAACCAAATTGGTGATGAAGTAGTAAGTGTCCTTAGTTATTCTTGCATTAACGAGATAATCCATTAGGTAAGTTAAGGTTAAATTTTATTTTTAAAGACACCAGTGACAAGGCTGCTGTTGCTCAGCTTTGATGGGGACGTTCAGCTGGGGCGTACCTTTCAGGACACGTGCCCCGTGTGATGGACAGACAGACTGCAGTTGGTTTGACAGTTCCTGGTGTGGAGAACCTCACTTTGCAGATGGCACGGCAGCTTCTTTACAGCTGCTTTGTGAGGTGAAGCTAGGCTTCTCTCTTGGATGGTCACATTCTCCACGCTTGTTGAGTTAAGCTCGGCTGTGAGAACCTCGGATCCCACCATGGGGGCCTGAGACCACCAGGTGCTGAGTTGCCCAGGGTTGACCAGTCCTGTCACCCCAGGTCTGTGCGCAGGGATCCCGTCTCTGGTCATTATGGGGATGTTAAGCAAGCAATGACTGATCCCTGCACAGCTGCAGTGTGATGTGAAAATGTCTCTGAGCTCAATGGCCACCATGTCCTGGTCTCTGCCACGCAACAGGGGCGGCCTTCACTTGTGGTTGAAGGAAATGCCAGCTTTTAGTTAGAAGTCAGGAAAATAAGGCAAAGTTGTTTGCAAAGCATTCAGGCTCTTAGACCCCCTTACTGTCTGGTCTCATCCCAGTCTAGCCCCCATGCTCCCTCCTAGCAGACGTCTGAGCACCAGGGATCCAACCCATACCCCTGCCCTTGCTGACCCCTCACCCTGGTAGTGGACAGCAGTGGAGTGACCACTAGGACTGCCAGTCTTAGAAGCGAGATCCATCTGAAGCTAGAAAGGGCTTTCCCATCCCTCACTGTCATTTTGTGGCTCTGGACACTGAGGCCCAGAGAGGAGAGGTAAGTTGCCAACGGCCCCACAGCAAGGATGAAGGGAGGCTGACTCTGGGCGGGGTTGTAAGAAGTTTCAAGTGGAGAGTTGCAGAGTGAGAAGCCTGGGAAGCCCGAGGTTTCACCCTCCTCTAGACATTTTGGAGACAGGTCAGGGGATTCAGTGCCTCCCCAACTCCTGCAGCTGTGCATAGATACTGTCTCCTGGCTGTCCTTACAGGGACCGGCTGGGGCCTCTCATTGCCTGTGGGGCCAATGAGAGAGCTGGAGCTGTGGGGGAGGTGGGGGGAGGCGGGAGGAGAGATGGAGGTGTCAGGTCCGGCCCAGGCCCGTGGGAGAAGGGCCCAGCCTTGGCTGGCAGCTGTAGCCAGCTGTTGCCTCCTGCAGGCCCTTCCCATGTCCTGTCCGTCACTCCCTCCTTTGGGACAACAACCTGCGCCCCTGTTCTTGGAGGAGGCTGTTCCCACCCCTGCCTCCTTGGCCCGGACTGGTGAGGGATCTGGGAAGCGTTAGCGAGCCATGCTGGGGGCGTGCTGCGACAGGCAAAATGGAGAGAAGGGTCTGGCTCTGCTGATGGTTAACTGGGGATCCACCCGCTCTGAGCTGCCTGTGTTTCTCTTTGGGAACAGAGGCTCATTCCTTCCACCTTCCACCAGGGGAAAAAAAAGGAGAGAGAAACTGGATCGGGTCTGGAGAGCCATGATGAGGCTCTTACAAACTCAAGGTGTGTGTGTTCACAGAGCTGTCACGCGGCTGCTGGGAGTTGTCAGGGATGACAAGACTGGACTGGAGGAGTGGGGAGGGATGGGTGGTGGTTTGGGAAGGTTCTGGGAGGGAAGAATGAGTCTAGGCATTCTGTCTAGGTGGCTCTGGGGAGGGGGAGCCTGGGGAGCACCTGCCTTGGGACGAGCAACTCTGACTCTGGGTCTGGGGGAGAGAGGGCACAGTGTGAGTCCAGGCTTTATGCTGACCCCGACCCCACCATCCACTTCCTGAGGTGCTGCTGCTGGTTTTGAGAGGGCAGGGCAAGAGTGAGGTGGGGGAGGTGTGGATGGTGGGGATCAGATAGTCCCCACTTAAGGGGGCAGCTCATGCCCAGCTGAAGGCATCTGGGAGGGGTTGGAGGGATGTCTTCAGGTTCTCAGGATTGCTTATCATCCCTGTGCTTCTGCAGAGGGGAACCATCTCAGGGTGCAGGCAGGGGTGGGGGCTGGTGGGGCAGGTCGCTCCCTCCCCCTCCTGATCCTGGACCATCAGTGCCATGTGGGGCCAGCTGCTGCTTGGGTCCATGTGGGATTCCCAGCCCCTTTCCTTGCCAGCGGGCTGGTTCTCATACTGCTGAGCCAATTCTTCCTGTACCCTTTGCCAGCTCTCAGCAGCTCTCCCGGCCTGCTTCCTCAGCCATTCTTTTATTTGTTTTAAGTAGGTTTTATTACCCAGTGTTCAGAAGCAAAAAACCAGAAAATGCAGATAAGGAAAAAGGAGAAAATAAAAATTGTCTATAATCTCATCACCTAGTGATGACTCGGGTTAGCATCTTGATGTGTGTCCTCCCAGACTGTTCTCCTGATACACGTTTATGTGTTATATGAGATTAGTATAGTAAAATGAGATTATAGCCTGCACTTGCTTTGTAGCCTGCTCCTTCCATCCCTGTTGCCTAGGTATCTTTCCACATCCATCAATAGGATATTTTTAAGGCTGTTTAACATTCCACCTTAGAAATGTCCCTTAATTTATTCAACAAATCCCCTGTTGCATGTTGTTGCCAGTGTTTTGCTACTATAAACAACAGTGTGATCAACAAAACACGCTTGTTCAATTTTTGCAAACGTCCCTATTTCCCAGGCAGAGAGCCCTGCAAGAGGACGTGTGAGTCCCTGAGGATGGCTGACATGACTGAAGTCGAGCAAAAGCTTTGGTTGTTGAGATGTTGTTGACTATATTGACATTGTTGGTGTAGAGTTCGGGGGCCTGGTGCTTTCGTTGAACTCTTGATCTGCTGAGAACTCATCCAGTTGGACTTCTCTGGCCTCATTTTGTGACATTCACAGCTAGCATGTTCTTCTGTGTCCTGTTTCCTCCAAATCCTTCAAATCCGTCTCCTGACCTCCCTCTGCCTCTTGCCTCTGGTTCTCCCCCTTATGACGGCCTCCCACTTCCCCCAGTCTGGAAGGCCTGGCCTCTATGTGACGTGACCCAGTCACTTAGAGCCCTAGGTCCTGACCTGGTGGGGATGGTTAACCCATTCCTAATGGTCTTATTTTTCCCTCAGGGAGTGTAAACTGTCAGGGGTCAGGGCCTACGTCTTTTTGTCTCTCCATGTCCATAACTACCCCCAAAGCAGCAGCAGAGGGTCAGGCACATAGTAGGCTCTCAGCAAACTTGTGCTTTGCTGAGCACCAGTGTGGAGGCAGTAGACCCGCCCTCTGTCTCCAGCTGCAGGGTGAGCTGGTCCTCTCTGGGCCTCAGACTTCTTGTCTGTATCTAGGGTGGGGATTAGGGATGGGCTTAGTCCCTTCCTGCTGTGGCTTTTCCCACCTGCTCCTTGACTGCATGTCCTCTTACCCAACAGGTCTTGGGTCCTGAGGCTGCTGGGAGACTATGGGTACAACGGCCAGCACAGCCCAGCAGACGGTCTCTGCGAGTGCACCCTTTGAGGGCCTCCAGGATGGTGGCACGATGGGCAGTCGACACTCGCTCAGCATAAACTCCTTCCAGACCACGAGCTTGCACAACAGTAAGGCCAAGTCTATCATCCCCAACAAGGTGGCCCCCGTCGTGATCACGTGAGTGACGGGAGGAGTGTGATCGTTTTCCGGAAGACATGGCTGGGAGAGCTACCTGGAGGGGTGGTGGCATACAGCACTGAATGTCTCCCAAATGCTTTCATAGATGGAGACACTGAGGCCCAGAGAGGTTAAGCAGTTTGTTTGGAGTCACACAGCAAGTGGGTGGCAGAGCTGGTGTCTGCTGGGGATCTTAGCCCTTATTACTCACCATGTCCATGGTGCCAGGGAGTGTGGAGAGGGAGGAGTGGCTGGAGGGACACCCTTTTGAAAATAACTTTTTGTTGAACATTTTCAAAGGAAGTTTATATACTTAGATGCATAAAATTTTGATTTTTTTTCTCATAACCTGTAATTATGGTTTGAAACTGAGGTTAACACCAGGCCATTAAAGGGCCTTGGGCTGAAAAAGCTGGAAACTATTGGCCAACTCTCCTAATTAGGTCCTGGGAAGGGGCTGAGGGTTTGTTCTGGCCTCATATTCTGAGAGACCTGGACACACTGCATATGTCCTGTGGGGCCAGTAGAGGAGCAGGTGCTGGGAGCCTCAGGCTGGGAAGACAGAAGGGGCATTGGATTTGTCTCCTGGTGAGTTGGGAAGCCTGTCTCAAGTTGCATCTGCTTACCGAGCTCCCCTGCCTCTGGGCCCCTCCAGGACGGAGGAAGTAGGACATGGTGAGCTAAGGATTAAATATGTTCCACGCATAGAAGTTTGGCAGAGACCTAGCAAGTCCCTAGGTAGGAAGTCCCTAGATGGGGCTTTCTGTATAAGGAAACCTGAGGAGTGGGAATGATAGATCTGGCCTGCTGGCTTTGGGGCTTGACAGGCAAATTGTAATCAGGATACAATACTGTGCTCGTGATCAGGCGGGGAAAAGAGATGTTACATAAAAAGGACTTGATGTGTAGCCTCTCAACCAGCAGATGACAAAACTGGGTTTGGGTCTTGAGTGCAGTGTTGGAACCACATGTCTTGAGCCTGCTTGGCTCTGCCTCTGCCTTGCTCTATGACCTTGGGCAAATCCTTTCCCCTCTCAGGGTCTCAGTTTCCTTATCAGGGTATGTGGAGATGACATTCAAAATGTTTAACTGTGGTGTGGCTGACCTGCTGTAAAAATCCCCTAAAGTGGTACTGAGCGTGCCTCTTGCAGCCGGCCTGACACAGTGATACTTGGGTTGTAGCTTGTTGGGGGTAGAAGGGACCTTAGAGATCATCCAGTCAGGGCTGGCAAACTGTATCCCTCCGGCCAAATCCAGCCCATCTCCTGTTTTTGTGAATAAGGCTTTATTGAAACCTGTGACTCCCATTCATTGCATATTGTCAGTGGACGCGGAGCCCTTCAAAGGCAGAGCTGAGTAGTTGCAGCAGACACTGGGTGGCCCAGAGCCTAGGGCATTTACGATCTGGTCCTTTACAGAAAAAGTTTGCCGACTCCTGATCTAATATCTTTTAGATCAGATGTGAAAACTCATCTAGACAGGCATATGTAGAATAGATAAACAAGATTATACTGTATAGCACAGGGAAATATATACAAGATCTTTTGGTAGTTCACAGTGAAAAAGAATGTGACAATGAATATAGTTACCTTCACATATAACTGAAAAATTGTGCTCTTCACTGGAAATTGACACAAAATTGTAAACTGACTATAACTCAATAAAAAAATGTTAAAAAAATTTAAAAAAGAAAGAAAACTCATCTAGATACAAAAGCTTAGTTTCGGGGGGTTTGTATGCCATGAGTATTGTGTGGGCTGGTGGAGGGAACCCAGGTCTCTGGACTCCTATCTAGTGCTCCCCAGCCCACTCATTCCACCACCCTGCCTTTTCTAGACACAGTTCTTTTGTAAAGAGGAGCAGACACCAGATTACGAGCTCTGGGAGGCTGTGTCTTATTCCTTGTTAGAATCAGCATGGAGCTTTTTGTGTCTTGACTGCATAGACCTCCCCTTGGTTTAGCATCTTCAGAAATCTGGATTTGTACCTGAGGGCTTTGTTTGAAATGGCCCTGCATGGAGGTAAAACTGCTACTAGTTACAATAATTATATTACTAAATGCTTACTGTACTTGAGGCACTGGGCTGAGCACTTACTCCATTCCTGCACTGACTTCTCGAAGCAGCCCTTAGGAGTTGTGAATTACTGTAAGTGGAGTGACAGAGCAAGTAATGCCAAAGCCATGGCGTTACAAAGCAATGGAGTTGGATTCATGCGCAGGCCATGCAACGCCAAAACCTGTGTCCTGAACTGCCTCACTGTGCTGTGGGATTGTCAGTGTGGGGATTGTTCTCAGAGACAGTCTGATGGTGGGACCATCTGGGACCAAAGTAACTCTTATTTAAGGAGACCTTAAACAAGACAGAAGCTTCTCTCTACTCAAAAGTCCAGAAGGTACTCTGGGCTGATTTGGCTGCCCCATGATCAGCCAGGCTTCTCTCTTGTTGCCCTGCCTTCATCAACATTAACTTCCTGTCATCACTTTTGGTTGCTGGCCAGGGGGATGGAGGGAAGAGTAGAAGTCACACGCCTTCCCCTAAGGGAATGGCCCAGAAGTTGCACACATCACTTCTCCTCACATCCCATTGGCCAGAACTGAATCACATGATCACACTAGCCGCAAGGGAGGCTGGGACATGTAGTCTTCAGCTGGCTGGCCCGGTCACAGTTCCAGGGTATTATTACTGAGGAAGAAAGGGAGAGTGGATACTGGGGAACAGTGGACAGTCTGCCATAAATGGGTAGCTGTGTGGGTGGGGTGAGGTGGCCCCACTGTGGGTCTGGTGAGGGTGGAGTAGACCCTGGCCACAGAGGTTGCCTGACTTGGTCTTCATCCTGCCCCTGGCAGGTACAACTGCAAGGAGGAGTTCCAGATTCACGATGAGCTTCTCAAGGCCCATTACACGCTGGGCCGGCTCTCGGATGCCACTCCTGAGCACTACCTGGTGCAGGTGAGGTCTGGCCCCGCTCCTTTCTCCCCCTTCTGATCTCTCCTTACGCTCCCTGCCCTCCTTCCTCACTGTTTCCCTTCCTAACCTCCTCCTGCTCTCCCCACTGTCCCCCTTTGCTTCACTGCCTCACCCATCCTCTGGGGTTTGATCCCACTTCCCCTCACCCTCTAGTTTTCGGGGATCTGTTCCCCAACTCTTGGAGCCCCCTGCTCTTCTCTCCCTATCTGTCCACTGCCTGGCCCCAGCCTGCCCACACCCCTCCCTTGGAGCACCAGGGAGAACAGGGATGGGAGCCTTAAGGTGCTGGGGCCCCAGACTGCTTCCCCCATGTAGGGAATCTCCATCCCATTCTGTTTTGAAGTTTCAGAACTTCTCAGGCACATAGATATAGATGTAGTTGTAGATCTGTCTAGATTAATCTATCGATCTAGCTGTCTGTCTATCTATCTATCTTTTTGCCTTAAATATCCCCTAGAAAGTAAATTCTACAAGGAAGATGACTTTTCATATATCTTGTTCACTGCTGTAGCCCCAGGCTTTAGAACAGTGCTTGGGTATAATGTAGGTGCTCAATAAATCATCAATGAACAAATGAATGGTAAGCATGATGCTTAAACTGTATTCATTGAAAGAGAGTCTAGATAGCGGGTGGTGGTGGATGGGTTGATAGGTAAACTGGTGGATGACATGACCTCATGCCCAGGAATGAATCTTCTGGCTCCCCCTGTTCTCACCTGATCCCTGAGTGGTGTTTTCCTCTTTTCTCTGAGTCACTGCATCCCCTAGCTGGGGAGGGGAGAGGCCAGCCCATCCTCAGAACTGCAGGTCCCTGGGAAGTGCCTAGCATTTTTCTCCTCATTGATTCCTGGTGCCCTAGCTGTGATTCCCTACTTGGGCCCCTTTTCTGTGGGCTTTCTCTGGTGGTGAGAGGTGGTGAGAGGTGTTTGCCTTCTGCCTGGGGAGCTGCAGACCCGCCCTAGGACCACCTTTGGTCTTCAGTTTCCTGTCCCTGGAGTGCCTCTCCCTGCTCTTCTTCTTCAAGTTCTAGCTCAGATGCTACCTCCTACATGAAGCCTTCTCTGACTCCCCCTCAGGAGGAGTGGTCTTTCTTTTTTCCACACTATATGACACCATTCCTGGCATCACAGATAGTCACATATTTTGTTGGCTTTTTCCATGAGCCTGCAGACACCTTGAGGACCGTTTCCCCTGCCCCCATCTCCCTGCTCCCCATCCCCTGGGGCCTGGGACAGAGCCTTGTCTGTAGAAGATGTCTCTGAGTCATCTGAGTGACCCCCTGTGGCTCTCCCCCACCAGGGCCGCTACTTCTTGGTGCAGGATGTTGCTGAGAAGATGGATGTGCTGGGCACTGTGCAGAGCTGTGGGGCCCCCAACTTCCGGCAGGCGCAGAGCAGGCACACTGTATTTGGCATGGGACAGCCCAGCCTCTCAGGATTCAGGCGGGTCCTCCAGAAACTCCAGAAGGATGGACACAGGGTAAGCATGGCTACTTCCCAGGCAGGGGCCAGCCCCCAAATCAGGGGAAAGGGGTTTCCAGAAGGGACAACTTAAGATGCTCTGGAGGGGCTTGGTCACACGGTGGGGAGGGTGGCTGGTGACCAGGACTAGGCCCTGCCAGGCCTTGAATACTGCAGTGTTCATTGTGGCCAGAATGACTGGAAAATTCTGGGTGAATTGCATTGCATTGTCCTCTGTGGACATGGGAGCCCAGAGGTTGGAAGCCCTTTATATACCCCACAGGGTGATGGTCACTGCTAACACATCCTCACGTCAGCCCGTTTGACAGAGGAAGAAACCGAGGCACAGAGGATAAGTAACACAGTCCCTGAGTGGTGTCCCAAGACCCAAACTCAGACCCCTGGACTCCATGTGCCTGCTTTTAATGGCTCCTCTCTCCTGCCTGATGTGGTTGTGGAGGTGGGGCTTTGAGTGTCTCCAGGACAGAGGCTGAGGGTCTACTGTGATTGCAGACTCATGGCCGGCAGCCTGAGGCTGATTTGACCTGGGTTAGAACGGAGCATCCTTGAGTGAACCAGAGTAGGAACGGGGTGTCAGCTGAGCACAGATCCCATCTTCCCAGCAGGTTCCTCCAGGGTGGGGTCTGCCCACATATCTCTCTGTCTCTGTGGTGCTCAGTAACTGAATCATTGCGTAGTGGTGGTGGGCATGCATTTTTTCAGCCGATGTTTATCAAGCAAATGATTTACCCAGGGCTCTGTACTGGGAATTGTGAGGACCTGAAAGGGACCAGGACCTATATGGACTATAGGTTCCTCTACTTGCGAAGAACCTCCAGTCCATGAAGGGAGAAAGATGTGTTCATTGATAATGTTAATACAGAGCAGAAATTAACACCATGAAATTCAGATGAAGGGCTGTTGGCCCAGAGAGGAGAGAGGGTCAGGAGCAAGTGGCATTTGGACTGAGTTTTGCTTTTGGGGTAGGATTCAGGTTGCAGGGGCAGGGTGGGGTGAGGGGCCCATCGAGGAGGGGAACGGCCTGCTCAGAGGTGGGGCAATGTAGAGGCTGTCCATGCTGGACAGTGGTGATGGTTCCTTCCTCCTCGGACTCCTGGTAGGAGTGCATCATCTTCTGTGTGCGGGAGGAGCCCGTGCTGTTTCTGCGTGCTGGCGAGGACTTCGTGCCTTACACACCTCGAGACAAGGAGCATCTGCATGAGAACCTCCAGGGCCTCGGACCCGGGGTCCAGGCAGAGCGCTTGGAGCAGGCCATCCGGAAGGAGGTGAGGGCCACTGGTGTGGGTGGGATGCGACCTCCCTGGTAGGCCTTGGACAGCTGAGTGGAGCCCCAGCCCACGGCCCTGCTGCTTTGCTCTCACTGGCCCACACTTGCCTGCTTTTCTGCCCTGCTTGGGCGAGTGGCTGCTGCAAGGCCGGCTCCTGGGCGGCCAGGGGAAGGACTTCTATTCCCAGCTCTGTTTGCCTCCGCCCCTTTCCCATCCCACTTTTCTCCTCCATACTCAGCATTCTCATTTAAAAAAGGGTCTGGTGGAGGGGAAAGAGCACTAGACTAAAAGTCCCAAGACTGAAGTTCAGCCCTCTGTGAGCTGTGAGGCCTGGGCTGGGTCACTTCTCTCGATGAGCCTTTGTTTCTGAGGTTCCTCTGTCCTCTTCTTCCGCAGCCTGGAGGTTTGTCAGAGTCTCTGAGGTTGTTGACACACCACAGAGGTGTGTAGATAGTGTGAGTGGGTCATAGTGCCCCTCCTCCCCCGAGATATCCACAGGCAGGGATGAAGGCTGCACTGGCCTCGGTTGCCTCCCCATCTCCCTCTGAGGCCTCCTCTCCTCCAGCTCCCAGCTGATCAGGCTTCCTCCTGTCCTTCTGTCTGGTGGCTTAGCTAACTCCTGCTGCCCACTGGGCAGAACCCTTGCGACCTGGCCCCATTGTGGCTCATGTCAGCCTAGGCCTGGGTGGCTCCCTGGGGCCAGCAGCCACCCCTTGTCCCACCAGGACTCCCAGGGCACAGAGAGCACCTCTGGCCAGTTCCATGGCCTCTAGGTGGCCTAGGTGCTCCAGCACTCTGCCAGGAAGGTCTGTCATGGCCCTCTGGCCCCCCACCTCTGTCTAGATTCACGACTTTGCCCAGCTGAGCAAGAATACGTACTATGTGTACCACAACACTGAGGACTTGCGGGGGGAGCCCCATGCCGTGGCCATCCAGGCCGAGGACGACGTACACGTGACCGAGGAGGTGTTCAAGCGGCCCCTCTTCCTGCAGCCCACCTACAGGTACCGAGGGCCAGTCCTGCGCAAGACCCTAGTGTGCTAGGCCTGTGTGCCCGCTGGGCCTGCCCTCCAGCTGTGGCCTCAGTCTCACCGTCTGCAGGTCGGGCTGAGTTCCCCACACCTGTCTGTCCCACGGGAATGTGGGGACACCCAGGATGTGTGGCCTGCCTGATGGGCTGCTCCCTGTCACCTGGCAGGTACCACCGCCTTCCCCTGCCGGAGCAAGGAGCCCCTCTGGAAGCCCAGTTTGATGCCTTTGTCAGTGTCCTCCGGGTGAGTTGGGGTGGAAGGGGTGGTGGGAGTGCAGGCTGGTGCTGGGAGAGTGGGTCTGTGTCTAAGCTCTGTCTCCATGGAGATGCCTGAGGTGGGTGTGGCCTCTGGAGGAAGGCTTTATTCTGTGCTGTGTTTGGAGTTGAGTGAGTCGGGTGTGTGTGTGTGTGGGGCTTGTGTGTGTCTTTGTGTGGGTGTGTATTTGTAAATTCTCTAATGACAGAGCCCAGCGCTGACCATCTGGAGGACTGGACTCTGGCTGTGGCTTGGGTACTAACTTGCTATGTGATCTTGGACGAATCTCCTAACCTCTCTGGCCTCAAGTTTCTCATTTCTTTCCCGGATCTAAAAACTCTTACCCTGTAGACTCTTTAGCTGATATTTCCTGAGTACCGGGGGTGTTCCTGTCCCAACCCCCTTGGGAGGTCACCTTATTGAATTTGCACCTCACAGCAGTGTAAATATGGCCTTGTTCCCTCTGAGTGCTCCTCACTTCCAGGCTTCATTTTGCTCCCTGGGGCCTGAAAGTAGGCAGGGCCTGTGCTCCTGGGGGCAGGTAGAACACATCTGGCTGTGGGGTTTGGCAAGAGGCTGAGCTTCTGTCTGGAGGGGGAGGCAGATGTCATGATGCCGCTTCCCCAGCTTGGTCCTCAGTTGTTACCTGCTATTCATGGTCCTTCCCCAGGAGACCCCCAGCCTGCTGCTGCTCCGAGACACCCACGGACCTCCCCCTGCTCTGCTCTTCAGCTGCCAGACAGGTGTGGGCAGGGCCACCCTGGGCATGGTCCTGGGTACCCTCATCCTATTTCACCACAGTGGGACTGCCTTGAGGCCGGAGTGAGTACCGTGGGACCCAGTGCCCCAGGGGGCTGCGGAGATGAGGAGTGGAGGGGGCAGGCTGCCTCAGGGTGGTGGGGACGTCAGGAGCCCACAGCTGGAGCTGGAAATTGGGCTTCTGGGGTTCATTTCCTGATTTGCCACAGACTTTGCCTGGTGACCTGGAGAAAGTCACTTGATTTTTCTGGGCATCGGTTTTTCCAGTGGGGCAGATGCCCCTTGCCTCCTCAGACTGATTTGGAAGGAGAATGTGGAGCCTGCAGTCTTGTGCCTCTCAGCGGCCTGATGAGCGGGAGGGTGTTGACAGGGGGCTGTCCTCGAGGCCTTTGGGAGCGCTGATTGTGCTATTGCCCTTCCTTGTCAGAGTTGTCCCCATGAAGACCCTTAAGCCACTACCCATGGAGCAACTCCAGGTGGTTCAGAGCTTTCTCCACACTGTGCCCCAGGGGAGGAAGATCGTAGAGGAGGTGAGCAAGGGGGCCAGGCAAGGAGCTGGGGTGGGGCAGGGGAGAGGCACTCGCTCCCCTCACTTGTGGGGCCTCCTCCTCCCTTGCCCGCACTTCCTGGCTAGTCATTCTCTTTGCCCCCTCTCTCCCCTTCTGTCTCCTGCGGTCTTTCCTTGGCCCTGCTCCCTCCCTGCTGCTGTCCCCCTTCCCTGCCCTGGTCCCTGGCACCAGGTGGACAGAGCCATCACCGCCTGTGCAGAGTTGCATGACCTGAAGGAAGTAGTCTTGGAAAACCAGAGGAAGCTGGAAGGCAGCTGGCCAGAGTGCCCAGCCCAGGTGAGGCACAGAGAGCTGCTGCTTTTGCCCAAGCCTGGCAGCCTCGTTTGGTCAGGCCTGTCGACTGGCTTCCTTCAGACTGACTTTTCCTGATTGCTGCTTCTCCCACAAGAAGAGCAGTTTTCAGAGGAAGGGGAGATTGGGAGTTGGGCCTGCAGGAAGAGGGGAAGTTTACTTTCCCTGACCAGGACCCCTCGCTGCAGAATAAACAGGATGGAGGAAGGGGCTGCTGGCGAGGTGCTGGGGACCTCTGGCTCCAGATGCTTCCCAGGCTGTTCCTGGCTCCCCTGCTAATAACACCTCGCTGTTTCTTTGAGAAGGCTGGGGCCTGGTCCAGCCACTGCTTCTGGAAGAGTGATGGGCCCTGGGCTGTCTCAGCAGGCCTGTCCCTGTGCTCTGGGGAGGGGAGGTCAGCTTGACAGTGTTTGCACACAGCACATGGAAAGAATCTGAAGTCCGCAGAGCCTTTTTATTCTTTAATACTTAAAAAATGTCTTTTAAAAGCAGTGTTATATTATGGAAAATTGAGAAATTAGAGAAGGAAAAGAATCTCTCATCATCCAGGCACAGCCGCCTTGAGCATTTTGGGCTGGCTTCCTCCAGTTTTCATATTTCTGGTGTTCTTGTGTAGGTTGGCATCTTGCTTATTTCATGTAACCCCAGCTTTCCCTGTCACACCTGCCTGTCGTCGTTGAGGTTTACTGGTCCTGGCTCTGTCACCTGCAGGTGTACGGACCTGGGGAACCTACTAAACCACTTGGTGCCTCAGTTTCTCCATTTGTGAAAGGGGGCCACTAACAGTAACTACCCCATAGGGTTGTTGTGACGATTAGCTGAGATAAGGTCATAAAGCACTTGGGGGGGTTCCTACAAAGCAGGTGTTCTTGGACCGTCACCTGCTGTGATTTACTCAAAGACCCCTTCCTGTTGCACGGTGGGGTCATCTGTGTAAATACTTTGCATTGAACTGCTTCATGAAAATGAGGCTTTTGTGTATTTTGGATTTCTCCCCTTAGAAAGTCTAGGTTAGCGATTGATAGACTATGGCCTGCGGGGCAGTTCCAGTCTACCACCTGTTTTGGTAAATAAATTTTTTTGAGGGGGCGTAATTAGGTATGTATGTATTTATTCATTTATCAGAGGTACTGGGGATCAAACCTAGGACCTCGTGCATGCTAAGCACTCACTCTACCACTGAGCTACACCTTCCCCTAGCTCTGGTAAATGAGTTTTGTTGGAACAAGGTGTTGCCCATCCATTTCTGTTCTGTCTGTAGCTCTCGTATGCTGCCGCAGCAGAGCTGAGCTGCTGTAACGCAGACCGTGTAGCCCACAATTCCAGAATACTATTTACTGTCTGGCCTTTTATAGAAATAAAAGTTTTCTGACCTCTGGCCTGGATTCCCAAAGATGGGATTAAATTTCATCCAAGAGCATGGCCTTTTTTTCCCTGGGCCTATTCAAATCTTCCTTGTCCTCCAGAAGGTGGTCCTGACCCCACAGGAGAATTCTCACCTGAGATCCAAAGATGAAGAGAGGGACCCTTGGAATTCTCTGACAGCCCCTTGCCCAGAGGATGCCAGGATGGGGAGGGTCATAGCTCCTAAGCAAGGGCCTCTGGCTCAGGGAAAAGTGTTTATGTACTTGCTGCTTCATCGTGGGTTGTGGGCAGCCCTGCACGGTGGATGGTGTTGGAGCAAAGCGGGGGGCCCCAGCCTGACTCTGGGTGCAGAGCCTGCATGGGAGGCAGTCCCCACACTGAGAACTGTAGTGCCTGCTGTTGTCACCTGTAGCTGTCCCTGCACCACAGATAAACCACAGCAAGTGGGATAGGGTTAGAAGCTTGGGAGCACCTCCAGCCTGGTAGAACAGAGGTATGAAGGTCCAGGTAGATCATTTTCTAGGAATTTCTGAGGCCTAACACCTGCCCTTCTGGGGGGTGGGGTGGGCACTTTAGCAGCCCCATCTTTACGGGGTCCCCTCCTTCTTGGTCCTCTCCTCTCAGAGAAGCGGCAGCCAGCACGGTGGCCGGCAGAGAGCGCTGCAGAGCCTGGAGCGGTACTTCTACCTGATCCTGTTTAACTACTATCTCCATGAGCAGGTGGGGCTGAGGGATGAGCCGACCCATACCCTCTTCTGCTGGGGCCCCTTCAGCTTCCCCACTCAGTGACTGGCATGGGGTCAGTGGTGACCCCTGTGGAGCTGGGGAGGGGAGTGGGGACACATGTTGGTTCCAAAGGAAGGTAGGTATGAAAGGCAAGAGAGACCAAGATAGAGGCATGGTCCCTGAGCAGGTCAGGCAAAGGGAGGCCCCACGTCTTTTTCCTCTGGGTCCCCGTATGTGTACTCTTAGCCAGGGCATCAGACATCCTGGTGCTCTCTACCCACCCCCTCATCCCTGCCCTGGGGCTCCTCTCTTGGGGCTCCTCCACCGTGGGGCAGGCAGGGAGAGTTTGGGATGGCCCTGTGCCCCTGAACTCCCATCTCTCTCTGCCTCGGGCTGCAGTACCCGCTGGCCTTTGCCCTCAGTTTCAGCCGCTGGCTATGTGCCCATCCTGAACTGTACCGCCTGCCTGTGACACTCAGCTCAGCGGGGCCTGTAGCCCCCGGGGACATCATTGCCATGGGCTCCCTGGTAAGTGTGGTAGGCTGGGGAAGCGGGAGTGGGTGTGGGCAGGCCCCGAGGCCAGTAGACCCTTGGTTCCTGTAGGGTTGGGCTGAGCATTGGGCCTCCTAAGAGGCCAAGAGTAGATGGCCTGTGGAGTGGTGGGACACTCCTGTGAGCGAGATGGGTCATTCTTAGTCCCTACAAAGCATCTCCAGCTCTGACTGCTGTTCCAGGACCTGCTCCTCACTCTCAAACCCACGTGCTCTGAGCAGGGAGTCAGGAGACCTTGTTCTGATCTCTTTGCCATCAGCTTCTCATCTTTGACCTGGCTCAGCTTCCTCATTTGGAGAGTGGGCACCATCACTCTGCTCCTCGCCAGGGTGGTTAGGAAACTCTGGATGTGCAAAAGTGCTTTGTAAACTGTAAAGTGCTAGTCCCGCCCATCCCCCCATCCCCACCAGGGGCAGGCTCTGAACCTCTGCTGGCTGCTGTGGGTCCCAGGCTTGCTGCTCTCCCCACAGGGGGCGGATGACCTCGTCTCTCCGGACGCACTCAGCACCATCAGAGAGATGGACGTGGCCAACTTTCGGCGGGTGCCCCGTCTGCCCATCTACGGCACGGCCCAGCCCAGTGCCAAGGTGACCACCCAGGGGGCCCATTTGTGGGGCTGGGGGAGGGGACCTTTCGCTGACCACCCTCCTGTCCCTCCAGGCCCTGGGGAGTATCCTGGCCTACCTGACCGACACCAAGAGGAAGCTGCGGCAGGTGGTGTGGGTCAGCCTGAGAGAGGAGGCTGTGCTGGAGTGTGATGGGCGCACCCACAGCCTGCGGCAGCCTGGGCCCCCTGTGGCCCCTAGCCAGCTGGAGGTGAGGCCCGCCTGCATGTATGCACCCCTGCCTTGGAGACCTTGTGGGGGGTTGGCCTGAAAGGGTCTTCAGAAGCTTCCATGCACCCCTTGTACGGGTGGAGAAACTGAGGCCCCTGGAGGAGCAGTCTCAGGGAGTGGCTGGTTCAGGACTCCTGCTCTGGTCCCCTCCCGGGCTCCAAGTCTGGTTTTAAACCTTGAGGCTCGAGAAGGGTCAGGGATGGGCCTGGTAGCCAGGACTGGTCCCAACCTTTCAGGGCTGGCCTGGGGGCTGCCTCAGTGGCCTGAGCCCTCTGTTCCACCCTCCCCTAGAACCTGGAGACCCAGCTGAAGGCCCATCTGAAGGCCCCAGGTGCTGAGATCTCGCAGACCCACAGGTTCCAGACGTGCCTCACCACGCAGGAGGTCTTCAGCCAGCACCGTGGGGCCTGCCCCGGCCTCACCTACCACCGCATCCCCATGCCAGACTTCTGCGCCCCCCGCGAGGAGGTGAGGGGGCCCACAGCTGAGGCCTCTGGGGAGGGAGAGGGGGCCTTGGCTATGGGCACAGCTCTCCTGAGGAACTAAGAACTTGTTCTGCAGGGTTGCAGATTCAGCTCATTGGATTTATTCACATGCCCCAAGCTTTGTGTTTGAGTGTAAATGTGTGTGTCTGTGTGTTGTGCATCATAGGTGTGTGTAGGGTGGGTGTCCACGGTGTTGGAGTGTGTGTGTCCATTGGGGAAATGTGTTTGGAGTGGGTGCAGGCGTCACTGTGGAATGTGTGTGGTATGTGGTATGTCTGTAACTGTGGAGGCTGAGGTACCTCTTGTCTTTACTTGTGGAGAGCATGTGTTTTGGGGAGTTGTGTGGCGTGGCACATGTAGGGTATTTGTGGAGGAAAGTGCTGTGGAATGCTGTGTGACTCAGGATGTGAGTGTGTGGTATCTGTAGGTTTGTGCCTGTGGATATCTGTAGTTTGTGTCTTTAAGGTTTATGTGGTGTGTGTGCCTGGCGTGTAGTGTGTAGGGGTCACTGTGTGCCTGTGTGGTCTGTCCATCGTTTGGGTGACGTGTCTGTATCTGCAGGCCTGTGATATGCCCCGTGTGACAGGCAGTGATTGGGCTTGTATTTCCCCCTCACTTTGCTCTGTGGGTCTGGTTGCCCGCAGTGTGCTGCCCCCTAGTGGCTGTGTGCTGCAGTGCTCGGCTGAGGTCGGGACTGCCCTCAAGCTGGGACCTGGGTTGGGTCCACCCCTGGTGGGCAGTAGGGCCAAGGGAGTCCATAGCACAAGGGAATGGCCTACACATGTGTGTGTTCTGCCTGGGGGATGGCAGGCAAGAGGAGCCCCAGGTGGGTGCCTGTGTCTGCTCACACGTCCAGTGCCTGGGGTGGGGGTTGTGACTGTACTTGAGGGTGTGGCTTTTTTTTTAACTGAAGGGGATGTGTCTTTCTACACTCAAATGGTTTTGTGTGTACGGCAGTGAGTGTGTACATGCAAGATTGTGGGCCTGACACAGCCTGGCACAGGGAAGCACTCCCAGGACAGCTACTGGGGTTGACATTTGGAGGGATGGGCCACCTTGGGAGTCTGTGCAGCCAGGAGTACCCGTGGACTCAGACCTCGGTCTCGCCGTGCAGGATTTTGACCGGCTCCTGGAGGCCATGCAGGCTGCCCTCGCCAAGGACCCGGGTACTGGCTTTGTGTTCAGCTGCCTCAGTGGCCAGGGCCGGACCACGACTGCCATGGTGGTGGCTGTGCTTGCCTTCTGGCACATCCAGGTACGTGTGGCCGCCTGTGTGAGGATAGGGGTCACCCAGGCAGTGTGGCGACTTGGTCCCTCGGGACAGTGGCCATGGCAAGAGGGTGTGGGGGACAGAGATGGTGCCTAGTGTGGTCCCAGAGCCCCCTCCCATCAGTCTTGGGCAGACAGCGAGTGGGGCTGGCAGACCCCCGGCCAAGGCTGTGGGCGTGGGGAGGGGTGCAGTCTGGGAGGAGTGCTCCCAGTCCCAGCAGCTGTCCTCCCTACAGGGCTTCCCCGATGTGGGCGAGGAGGAGCTCGTGAGTGTGCCTGATGCCAAGTTCACCAAGGGCGAGTTTGAGGTGAGCCCCATAGGGCCCCCAGGGGACACCTGGCAAAGGGGAGAGGGCGGGTCTCACTGCCAGGTCTGGTGGGATCTTCGGGGATCTTCTCCTTCATCATATCATTCCCAGGTCACAGATGAGCAAGCCAAGGTGCAGGGTAGCCTGGCTCTGGGCCCTGGCAGGTGGTCATTAAGGAAGTGGGGGCTGGATCCCCTGACTCTTCCTGGCCCTGCTGCTGGGCTGCTGTGCGCCCTAGGGGCCACTGGCCACCATCTTGTCTGAGTCACATTGACAACTACCTCACGGGCACCTGGGAGCCAACTGCGGTTGATGACCTTGGTGCAGGGCCCTGGCCTGCCCCACCCCACCCCCATATCAGTTCAGGGCACCAGACAGACAGTGCTAACATTTCATGTGTTGCACACCTGCTACGTCATCTTTCCTGACATCTGCAACTAGGTGGCAATGTCCCGTCTTACAGATGGGAAAGTGGGACTCAGAGCTGGCGCATGGCTGCCTGATGTCGGTGTTGAGTATGGTTGGCTCCTATCTGCCTGGCCAGCCTCTCCTTGTGGCTCCCTGTCCGGCCCCTCCGCCTCCATGCGGCTCCTCAGATTCACCAGGTTCTTTCGTCTTCTGGGCCTTTGTGTCTGCTTTTCCCTCTCCTTGGACCACATCTCTCCTCCTTTTCCTGGCTGATTCACTGATGCTTTTCATTTTTTTAATTTATTACACACAATGTGAAATTTACCACTTTAATCATTTTTCAGTGTAAGTTCTGTGGCATTAAGTACATTCACATTATTGTGCAACCATCACCACCATCTCTCTCTCCAGAACTGTTTCCTCAGGCCAAATGGACAGTACCCGTTAAACACCAACTCCTCATCCTTTCCTCCCCCAGCCCTTGAAAACCACCCTTCTACTTTCTGTCTCTATGAATGTGACTGTTTTACATACCTCCTACAAGTAGAATCCTACAGTATTTTCCTTCTGTGACTGGCTTATTCCACCTAGCATGGTACCTTCAAGGTGCGTCCATGTTGAGTACATACCAGAGTTTCCTTGTTTAGAAGACTGAATAATATTCTCTTGTAAGTATTGACCACACTTTATTTACCCATTCGTCTGTCCGTGGACACTTGGGTGGTCGTCACCTTTTGGCTGTTGTGCACAGTGCTGCAGTGATAGCTGTGATCTGCTGTGATATGGGTGTACAGCTATCTGTTTGAGTCTCTGCTTTCAACTCCAGAAGTGGAATTGCTGGATCAGTTAGTAATTCTCTGTTTAATTTTTGAGGAACTGCCGTATTATTTTCCATAGCAGCTGCACCATATACATTCCCACCAACAAAGCGCAAGGGTTCCAGTTTCTCCTCATTCTTCTTGCCAGCACTTTCTGTAGTGTTTTTTTGCTTTTTGTGTTTTTTGGATAATAGCCTTCCTAGTGGGTGGGAAGTGATAACTCACTCTGGTTTTGATTTGTGTTTCTCCAGTGACTAGTGATGTTGAGCATTATTTCCTGTGTTTTATAGCCATTTGTGTAGCTTCTTTGGAGAAACGTCTGTTTGACTTCTTTCCCCACTTTTGATTTGGGTTGTTTATTGTTGTTGAGTTGTAGGAACTCTTCATATATTCTGAATTTCAGTCCCTTATCAGATACGCGGTAGTTCTGTGGGTTGCCTTTTTACTCTATTGGTAGTCTCCTCTCATGCAAAAGACTTTTAATTTTGGTGAAATTCAAGTCAATTTGTTGATTTTTTTTCTTGTTTCCTGTGCTTTTGGTGTCATATCCAAGAAGTTATTGCTAAATACAATGTTGTGAGGCTTTTCTTCTGTGTTTTCTTCTGAGAATTTTATGGCTTTAGCTCTTAACGTTTAGATCTTTGATCCATTTTGAATTAATTTTTGTACATGGAATAAGGTCAGGGTCTAGGTTCATTCTTTTGCATGTGGATATCCAGTTTTCCCAGCACCACTTGTTGAAAAGAATGTCCTTTCCCCATTTAGTGGTTTGGCAAAACTCATTTGTGTACATGGGGGTTTATTTCCAAGTTGAATTCCTAGTCTTCACGTCAGTCCCTCAGATGTGACAGTTGAGCTCTCCTTTCTCACACCCAGCCCTGTGCTGGGACCTCTGT